TGGAAACACGGCTGATTATTACTATTTACATGTATGATCTCCTGCTAAGAAACCCCTAACATTTTCAAAAAAGGTTACTTCCCCACTTAGAAATTTCAGAAAAGTGTATCTGAGTTTGCTATGTCACAGGTCTGAATTGCAATGTACTCTGTTTATGGGAGGTTTCTGAGCACCTATTCATTGCTGTAAAATAACTTCTGCCTCATACCTCTGCCCTTCTGGTGTTCAGATGAGCTTGTCCTAAAGTTGAGCATCATTATTGTAGGTACAGTTGTACTTAGAATTACATATTTCATCAAGGGATCAATCACTAAATACCTCTCACAGAAGTTAATGGAATAAAATTGTTTAATTAAATTCTGTCTTAGAGAATTCATCAGAAAAGATGCTTCATCATTCAGGTTTTAAACAGAGTACTACTTCTAGACACCTTTACAGAACAGGCTGTGAAGAGCGCTGTTTTTCTTGGACCTTCTATGGCTTTGTGTTGGCTTAAACAGCCAAGCCCTAAATAACTTGCTACTTTGTTATGAGTCTGTGTGGAGTAATTTTTGGTAAGCTCCTGAAGTATCTGTTCCCCTTCCTGCTCTCCAGTAATCTTAAACCAGCTGCTTTGCCTCCCAGCAGAATGCATGGGGGTGAGTTCCATCATCATAACAATAATACCTGCTGCATCTGACTCACTACAGCTCCCTACAGCTCCTGCTGGGAGAGGTAATAAAATGTGCATTTCTGTGTGCCTGTGAGAGCTGACACAGTACAAGGAGGATTCACTTCCAAGTTCAAATTTTCTAGCTGTAATTTACCTCCTGCACTCTTTTTGTAATCTTTGAGTAGTGTGGGAGAATAACTTCAGGTTATGTCTGAGGAGACTACCTGCAGAAGCTGAAAAAAGTCTGAAAAGTCTGTCTGTATTCATGCTTTCAGGAGTATTGCTTGGTGGGAGCGTTGTATTCTGTGCTCCACAGGAAAGAGAAAACAAAACCAAGTACGTCTTGTTCCACAGCACAAATGAGATCTGTGCTAACAAACCCCTGCCTGCACAACGCCTTTACCCAATGAACATTCAGCACACAGACACTCACAGTTTTGGTAGAAATCACTGGGGGGGAGAAATGATCTGAAACATTACCATTTACCTTCCAGATGCAGGTTTGTGTCTTGAAACATTGACATTTCACCTGTAATTTAATATCTATTACTAATTAAGTGTGGAAGCTCTTTTCCCTAGGCATTAGACCATCAGGCTGTGTGTGGAGTCTGTCAGTAAATAATATTACTAAACACCTGTGCAGTCTTACAGACACTCGAAAGACATATAGCTCTACATACAAAAATAGATATGCTCTTTTTCAAGTTAGTAACATTTAGTAATCATCTAGTTACTGTTCTGGGCAACTGGCTCTAGGTGGCCCTGCTTGAGCAAGGCAGTTGAATGAGATGACCTCTAGAGTCACTTCCATTCTCTGATTCTGTGATATGTCAATTTTCTTTCTTCAGCTTAATCATACTAAACAATGATGTCTTTCAAAATGATTCATGTATCAGAGTCAACTGTTTTAAAATACTTCTTCAATAAATATTCTACAGGGGAGATTTTTAAATGCTTTAAATTAAAATCTGTGCCTTTGTCTTTTTCTATACTGACTGATAATTTATTTAAGTAAAGAAAGCTACAGTGGATCTTATACAGTCATCTTAAGGATGACATTGTTGGATTCAGGAGAATTGCTATATGCTAAAAATATAATCAGATGTACAGATAATAGTAGGAATTGAAAGAAAAGATTTTTTTAAATCCATTTCAATTACTTGTCATGTACAGTGGATTGAACAGGAAGCTGTATTTCATACCAGGAGGATTTAAATGCCACCTTACTCAGTCTGAGAACAAAGAGATTTTCAGTTTATGTGTTCTGTGTACATAGAAGAGGGAGCAGAATGGATTTGTTGTGCTAAAATGATGGCTAAGGTGGTGCTGAGAACAGCATAGATAAAGGGCTTTGTGTGGCTACAGGAAAACAAACAATGTTTGTTTATGGACTTCAGTGCATTGCAAAAATGAATCCTGATTAGATCTGAACCCTAAAAAGAGTTTAAGGGGCTTGGTGGAACAGGTCTGATTAATCTGTGTTTGGTTGTCAAACTGACTCAATAATAAGAAAGTTATGTGGGTGGTTACGTTTTGTCATTCTTAAACTCAAATTACATTCAAGATTATTTAACAGTCAAATAGGATAATTAGATTTATGCAAAGTATAAATGCCTCAAGCAAATATTCAAGACTGGTTGCATCTGTTGCTTAAAGACAGTGACATGCAGGACTCCTTTTCTGTAGAACTGTGGTATGGATACCACAATCACTAATGACTATTTGCAGAACAACATTTTAAATCTGTTAGCATTGAGAATTTACAGATGACCCAAGGATTATATGACACTATTGATCATATTTTTCCAGAAGTTTTTAAGCTGCTGGGTTATTTTTTATCTTACTAATTTTATCACACACTCATGAGTCTGTTCTTTCACCACTATACAAACTAGTTACCAGGATAATGAATATTAAAAAGTCTACCAGCTAGATACTGGTAGGATGCAGTCAACAGGAAGTAATATGACTTCAAACCTAACAAACAATAAAATTAATGTATCATTATCAGCTCACCTTTGTGATTGACCTTAGTCATTAATATTTTAAAGGAATTTTTAGTAACTATTCCTCTGTATGAAATACTGTGACCTGTTTTCAAAGCAATTTAATGTCATAATAATTCAATATTTAAATGTATGCCTTTAGACGTTTTAGTAAGCCACTGAATTTAAAGCTGTGCAAGCAAAACCAATATGTAAAATCTGCTGTCATGTGATAACAAGATGAAGGGGAATCTGAAGAAAATACACCATTATTAGTGTTTAGTGGGTTTTGAAGAAAAAAGTATGCAATGATTCATTACTGCAATTATACACAATTATTATTCTTATATAATGTAGTAATTCTTCTTATGTAATAATAAGTCCTACAGCATCATACAATAAACACTGAACTAAGTTGTGCAGTATAAAACTGAATATGTAGACTCAGCCCATTTGTATGATGCTATCATCCAGTACTAAAACATAAGAAACCAGAAATCCTTTAGAGCTTATAAAAGAGCTTTCTTTTCCCAAATGTTTACAAATAAGGGCAAAATCCAGGTTTCTGCTGTGGTCAGTGTCGATGTTCCCAATGGAAGCAAGATTTCATTTCAAATGGAGAAAGCAGGAAGATTTTCAGCATGATCCCCTTGTCTCAGTTTTCTTCATTGGCCCAGTTTTTTTTGTTAATTCAGTTCGGTGCTGACAATAGTCTTGACAATAGTCAAGACAAAGAATCTTTTGCTGTATTGTGGAAGTGTTTGTCATATTTTAGATCTCTGAAACATATCGCATTTGTTATCTGCTTTTGTTTTCTGCCTTTTCCTTCTATATGATAACCCTTCTATATGATAAGAAAAAAGGTCTTGGGATAAGTCATCCTCAAACATTTTGCTATTTAATAGTGCTTGATTAACAGTATGTCTGTCCACTGAAGTCAGAAATGAGCAACAAATCTTAGTTCTGTTAAGATGTTTGCAGTATATGCTTGTCAGTGTATTAAGTTTCATATTAACAGGCTCAGTGGGGAGAGATGCATCGTTATGGTACTGCATAACAAGTCATTGGGACAGGGGGATGGGGACTACCAATGGGACAAGGCATTGTTTGTAGGTCCGTTAATTTTCTCTGCCAAAGTAACATTTACATTACCAAGGGGGAAAGTTTTGGCTCTTCTGCTAAAGCATCCACAAATGAGTGAAAGATAAATTTATTTTTGAAAGTACATTTGAATCTGCGCTCCTCAAGGAACCTAAAGAGATTGCTGTAAAAACTATCATACTTTACCAGCAAAGATTCTCTCTGATGAGAAGTGCAGCCTGAGACATAGAGCATATGAGATGACAAAATTTCTGATGAATTAGGTCAAGAAAATACCCACAGTAGATCAGTAGCATATAGCAACTTTCTTTTTAAGTTTGTTGGTTTTATAAGAAAGTAAAGAAAAGGTTTGGTTTGTTTGCATTCCCCTTTGTCTTCCAAAAAACTTTCTGTATGTTATATATAAATATTAAGTTTGCTTTCAAAATGCTGGCTAGTATCAAGGCTTTAGTTGCTCTGAGAGTGTGGCAAATCTAGAGAGCAAAGGCAATGTAAGACAAAGCCTTTTCCTTTCTATTTACTGGAGATGTTTAAAATGGAGAGATAAGGACCAGGGAAAGTGGACTAAAAGTGTATACCAGAGGAAAAAATGACAGAAAGTTACATATATTAGCAATGTTGATTTTATGTAGTTTATGTGTATGGACAATTTATTTTTAAAGAATAATCCTAGTCACTGACCATGTCTGACCTGACCTACCAGACTGTCAACCCTTTTCACATTCCTCGTTATGGCTGATAGAAGGTAGTACTGTGACCTTTCTCCAGAGCTATTTTCACTTCCATTCTTCAGCTGAGCAGCATTTTTCTTCTTCTGTATGCTGAGCAGCTTACATATTTTTTTAACATCAGTTTCCTAAGTCTTAGTTCATAAGAAAGTTCAGAGACCAAAGTCATTGTTGGAGACTGAGACACCACTCAGGTCAGTTCAGATCATTTGCATTCAAGTCAGTTGCCTGGAAACACAAATTTTTGAAAACATAGAATTTAGGTGGTTTTAGGAAACTACTTGCTAGAGAATGGAAGAGAGTTGTGTTAGAAGATGTAAAGTTAAGTTTGGAAATTATCACGAGAAACACAGATTGATGTTCTCTGTTAACCTAAGCCTGCTCAAGTTTAGCAGACACTTGACTATGAGATTGTGTGAATACAGCAGTAATAAAAGTCAGTTCTATGAGGGAGAGGGACTCTCCTCTGGGTTAATATAAAGTCCTTGTTTTGCTCCTATAATTAATTTCATTTTATTTTCATGAACATTTTAGGTGTATCAATACATGCATGAAACCATAACAGTTAATGGCTGCCCCGAATTCCGAGCCAGGGCCACTGCAAAGGTAGGATACGTGCAGCTGTTGAAATATGTGTTACCAAAGTGATCTAGTAATTGACTGTGCGCGTGTGTGTTTCAGGTATTCGTGTGTACACTGTAAGAAAATTTAGACATCAGTGGCAGCCCAGAGTCTAGAACCAGTGCTACTTCCCAGGTAACAATCATAATGGAAAATTTCAACCTTTATGCTGCTTCTGTAGCTTAAGAAAAGAGAATGATTTTATGGAATATGATGCTTTTTAAAAAGTTGCTTTGCAAAAGCAAATCTACTGGTTCTTCTGTAGCAGTCTGCCTGCAACAACCAATATTTTAATGGACTGTTTTCCCATACATCTCATCCAGAGAGGACACAGTCATTTGGGAGATAGAAACTAAACAATCAAAATTCCCCTTTTAACTAATGGGAACTGTAGGTAGTGTGCAAATGGTAAGGATGAACAGTGACAGAAATGGCCTGATCAACATTTTATTGACTCCACAGCTAAATGTAAGCCTGGGTTTTTTCTGATACATTGCCTGTTTTAATAAAATATAGTCTCTTTGTCCATGTGGACCTGCCTTTCTTATATCCTAAGACAATGATGGCTGTGTTACTGCTGCTGCTGAAATGATTAGGAAGTTCACACAACCATGAAAGAATCCATTCTGTGTGCCAGTATGAAGTATGCTGTGTATTTTCATAACATGCACAAAAATAGATGCTTCCAAACAAGGGGGTCCACCACAGCTTTCTTTTTCCCATTATCATTTTGTACAAAACACTGTCTTTTATGTGGTATAGCAGATTCTATGCAAGATAAATTGCAAAACGCATAAATCTTTTTTAGAGATACTTCTTTATGGTCCCATTCCTTTGAACATAAACTCCCTGGAGTTCTAGTGGAACTAAGACCTCTTACCATTAAGTATTTATGTTCAGATATTTTAATTTAAAGCTGTATCAGAAGAGGAAGGCTGGGAGTGTGTTACAAAATGATTTAAGAGTATTTTAGGGAAGCAAGCTCTATAATAGCAGCAAATAACCTAATATACTCTAAATTCCAGTGTATTTTCTATATTAAATAGGACTTTCTTTTCTGTAGGCCGTTTTTCTTATTTTAGCCTTCTAATTGAAAGCTAATGGTCAGTGTAAATTTGTAAGTTCTTTCATTCTATATGGAGAAATGTGTAAATAAAATCCTGATTTGTTTACACTGCAGATAGACATAGAAATTATTGCTACGTTATTTAGTAAATGGGGAGAAGTCCAATTAGTGTTTCCCATTCTCATTTCTTACTCATATAGAACAGCAGGTTACAGAGCAATGTTTCAATATCGCAATATTTCCTGGTTATTTCTGGGCTGTCTGCATTTCATTCTCCTACTGCATTCATGTCTGACATAATATGTATGCATGATGACAAGTTCTGCATGTGCAAAAACATGTAATTGGGAATGATCCATTATGTCACATCATCCACTAGCTTTGATAAAGCATAAGCATTATAGGATGCTCAAAAATATTAGTGTAATGCAAAATTGTTCAAGCAGTTTGAGCTACAAATACATTTTTAAAATTATAAAATATTTTCTTAATGTTTATTTAATGATTTATTAATATTAAGGCAAATAAGTAAGAAAATGCTTGTAGTGAAAAATCAAGTGTAAATCTAATATTTTCCCAGATGCAAGCTTTACAGTATGTAACTTCTCTTTGTTTTTTTTCCCTGGAATACGTTAAACAATCTAGATTTTTCTAATTGATTTATGTATATGGTTTTGTCTTAAGATTTAACTTTTTCCATAAAAGTTTTGACAGAATTATATAATAAAACCTCCTACTCCTGTTCCAAAAGTTACTTAGTTTGCAAGACTTCACAAAGATTATAAATTAAATTTTTAATTTAATAATACGAGGATTTAAAATAAATAATTCCATAACTCTGAAAGCAAAGCAGAGAGTTAAAAATTCAGTTCATCCACTTAATTTCAGCTAGGAACACATTAGAGATCCCATTATCTTATCCCACAGGAATAAATTTTCTCCATGTGAAAAGGCAAAGAAGAAATGCACTAATGATCATAAGGGTGCATCACCACAGAGTAAGGCTTACTGGTGCCTACTTCTGGCTCTGCTGGTAACTTTCTGTATTATCTTTGACAAGTCACCTATACTATTTATTCCTTTATTTCAGAAACATTGGCATAGAACTTGATGTTTTTAAAATATTTTCAGATAATCAGAAAATGTCAGAGTAAGATAGTGAAATGTTTTCACAGGAAGGAGTTCTTCCTGCAAATGAACAATGAAGTGTCTATCACTGTTTCCCTTAAATAGCCAAATCAATAATTTTTTTCTTCCAGGCGACAGTTGCTGCATTTGCTGCAAGTGAAGGCCATTCACACCCGCGAGTGGTGGAGCTGCCAAAGACTGAGGAAGGCCTGGGCTTTAATGTCATGGGAGGAAAGGAACAAAATTCACCTATTTATATTTCTCGCATCATTCCTGGAGGAGTGGCAGAAAGGCATGGTGGGCTCAAACGTGGGGACCAACTGCTTTCAGTTAATGGAGTGGTATGTGAAAATTTGATAGAGCTTTCATATTCATCTGGGTTTTCATTTTTCACAGATGTTCTAACACCATGATTTAAAATGCAGCCTCACGAAACAAAAATAATTAGTTCTGTGAGAGACCTTCAGTGTGAGTTTGTGGTGCAGTGAGGCAGAGCTCCGCCAACAATTTTGTGCCATTATAATTTCTGTTGTAATGGAGAGTGCTTGAAGAGCTTCATTTCAAATCCACACCACCTGCCTAATTTACAAGGAACCTATGTCCTTAATGATAATTGATAATTCTGTAAATTACTCTTGCAGTAAAAGCTTAATAACAGAGTGTCATTCTTTCATTTTGTAGCCTTCAAGGCACACAGCCCTTTCCAAGCACAGTGATGACACAGTGGCACTTCTTGTAGTCTTGTGACCTTCAAAGCCTTTGAACACATAAAACTAAAAGAAATTTGGTAAGCACATTTGGTGCTGATATGCAGTGGAGATATGCAAATCTAGAATCTACATTCTAGATTTCTTTTAGTGGTATTCATCCAGCTGTGATATCTTTGTCAGCAGTACAAATGCTCCCATGCAGGGAGCATCTATGCTTGGTAAAAAGTACATTTTTTTCATGGTCATTTTTCATTTAAATCAAGGTAGGGTATTTTGTAGTAATTTTACTGTGAATGCAAACATAGAGGTTGTTCAACTAGAGGACACATAAGGCTCTGACTCCATGGCAGAGGTCAAATTCTGCCTTTCATTTTGCTTTGTGTGCTCTTTTACAAAGGAATATAAAGTATTGAGAAGATAAGGATACTCATTCACATAACCTTACCCTTCTCTTTATGAATACGTAGTCTTTTTTCCATGCAAACCTCCATCTAACCTTGTGTTTAAATGCATCAAAGACACAGAGTAGCAGTTTCTGAGTCTGGTCAGAAATCTAAGACTTTAAAACTTAAATTTCTTCCTTCTTCAAAGGCAAAAACAATAAAAATGCTTCTATGTTTTCATCTATTTCTCTCAACAGTAGCTATTCCCTTTGTCTTGTAACAAAATATTAGGGTAACACTTCAGACAGACTTTTTACCACTTTTTCTATCAATTATCATGGTCTCAAAAGAGAAATACTAGTTCTGAAAACTTGCTTGTACCAAATAGCAATGAGAAAGGAAAGATAAACCTGCTGAAAAGATTATTTAGTGTCAAAGAAAAAGAAATAAATGGAATATTTAAGGAAGTTGGTTGCCTGAACTTCACACTGATTTAAAGTTGATAGAGAATTTTGTTGCTATTTTTCTCAACAAGTGATTAAAAGGGCAGATGAAAATAGTTTCAATTTACTAATTGATGGATGGTTCTTGAAAAATCCTTTTACTGTCAACAGTGTCTAGACAAAGACCAGAGAGGAAAGTGGTGAACATTCAGATGTCAAGATATATTGAATTTGACCCTTTTGTCACCTCTATTTTATAATTCTCCGGTCAAAATTTGATGCATGTGCTCTAGAATATCTATTTAGGTAATGCAGCAAAAAACATAACACAAAATTCTCAATTGCATATGGAGACATGAGAAAGTTGATTTAGAGATGCAAGAGAAATATTTTTGTATTGAGAGTGTAAACAACAGAATTCAAAGTTTGAATACAAGTTACATACTTGAAATAATCATAGAATTATCTCATATAAATTATCTCATTCCAAGCCTCCTACCATGGGTAGGAGCACCTTCACTAGAGCAGGTTGCTCAGAACCCGATCCAACCTGACTTTGAACTTCCTGGGATGAGACAATCTACGAATTCTCTGACAACCTGTTCCAGGGCCTCACCACCTTCATAGTAATGAGCAACTGTTCACAAACCAGTCTTGGGCTAAACAATCCTACACAATATAATTTGTAAAAAGGCAAAACTTATAGAAGTGTTTATTTGTTTGCAAACAGCTTGATATGGGACAAAAAAAATCTAAATTTAGCATTGTTCATTGGGACTAATACACTCTGTGGTTCTCTTAATTTAGCTCGAGAAAAGCAAATAATGTACAGTATGTTCAATAGAACAGACTGTTCAGTGGTGGGACATGAAATTAAATGTCTGTAACTTGTTTGTGCTCAATCACTGATGGTTATCCAACTTCATAATTAGCAACATAAAATTAGAGCTGTGTGTTCAGAATCCAGATTTGTTTTCCCAGCATGACTGGGAAGAGTGTTCCTTGAGCTGTTTTGCTGCATGTTAAAAAACAGTGTTTTCTCATTATGATGGGGATTTTGTTACATACTTTTGTCCCATATCCCCTAAAAATAAAGGAAATGGAAAGCAGCAAGCTCTACAGATGGCTTGACAAAAACAGTTGCTGGTGCCTGTTGATATCTGGCAAAGATTCTGCATTTGTCAGATAATTGTGTGAGTCAGATACTGAAAGGATGCAAAATAGATTTATAATGACTAATTTGTCAACCAAGTATTTGTGTAGGCATACCTAATAGAAATATTCTTCTCAGTCTCCCAACTTGTGGGCTAACAGATTTTCTTTTTTGTCTTTAGGAAAGTGAATTTTTTTCTTCTAGATTTATGGCAAGTCTGTGACCAGGATAGAGAAATGCTTGGTATTTGCCCATACAATATCTGCAGTTCTTTCAGCTGTTCTTGTCTTTGTAGTGTTTTTCCATCCTTCTCTTTGATGCAATCTGCCAATGCAATAATGGAAAAAAGGAATAAGTGTATAAAAGTATACGTAATAAAAAATTAAATATTAAGTATATACATACTTTCAAAAAACAATTTTACGTGTTAGGTGGGCAGTTCTAAAGTAACATGAGTGTGTCAGATTCTTGCAATGTCCCCCACCAGCATAATCCAGTCAGCAAAGTACCTTGTATAGGAATGACCGATACCAGCAGCGGTCCTTTGCCAGCACAGCCTTAGAAGTTTGCAGAGGCAGAAGCATTCCAACAGCAAAACAACTCCCTTTGTCCTTTCCTTTTCCCTTCTCCAAGGGCCTCTGCTATTTCACTTCTGCAGCTGCTGTTAAGCAGGTAAAGCTTTCGTAATACCTTGAAAACTGGAGTGCAAGCAGCAATAAAGACATTAAGAGTAAGTTTAACCATCATATTAATAACAGCTGCAAACTGTGGTTGTCAGGATCTGAGTGAGGTGTGTTCAGAGAGCAGGATTTGTATTTAGCAGCACTATGTTTGCCGTTGCTTTTTTCCCCTCTTTGCTTATGGCTCAGAGCATTAGGCTTAATTCTGCATCATTACTATTCAGATCAATGGGAGTTTTCCATTGACCTGGATAGCAACAAAGTCAAACCCTTCATGTCTAATTAGAAAATACTGTCTAAACTGGAAGAGCAAGGCTGGGGACAACCAGGAGAGAAAACAAGCATGAATTAAATGCAGTTTGCTAGGTTGTTGAATTAAGTATTAAAACACCCCATCTTATTATTCCCTTACAAAACAATCACAATTTCTTATTGGTGTTAATAAGAACCATCCAGCATGTTGAAAGCAAACAAATGTTTCTACTGCATGTAGCTTGGGAGGTTACAATGTGTATTCATAGGCTGTTCTAAGTTCATGCTGTTGCGCAGCAAAATGAAAATGACACCACTGAATATCCTCTTGATTTCCTCTGAATGTCCATGCCATGCCATTCTGACCACGATTTACAAGCAAAAAAGAAAATATAAAACAATACCAAATTTTGTACACTTTCTCCTATGTTAAGACTTATAATTCTAAAAGCTTAGTATACATAAGAGTTTTAAAACACAGCAGGTAGTAAAGCTTCAATTTATTTTAAATGAAAAGAAAAAGACTTACTTTTAGATGATCTAAAACCCATGTGAAGGTCACAGATGTTCAGGCTGTTGGGTTTCTTCTGTGCAGAGATACTTTTGTTTTTTGGAATATGTCCTACAACGTGAACAATCATGCACCATTAGAAAAATTTTCCCTTTTTCTTAAGGTATGTAATGATGCACATGCCTAAAAGGGTTATGACTCCAGTCAGTCCACTTAATGATAGAAATTGAATATATTATAGATTATAATCATATATTATTATAATCTATATAGCAGCTGAGTCATCTTCCTGTTTTGGAAATTTACAGTTCTTCCAAGCAACATTAGCATAGAAATCAGGGCTTGAAAATTAATACATGCCCAGCAGTGCATAAGTCTTACTTAATGCTTTCTTTTTAGTGGTCCCTTAAAAAATGTAAGGTGTGGAAACTACGTAAAACACGCTTTCCATATGAAAAAGACACAGCACTAGATCAAAGCACCATTTTCACTATTAAATTTGTTCTCCCTGCATCCAGAGTGTGGAAGGAGAGCACCACGAGAAGGCGGTGGAGCTGCTGAAGGCAGCCAAGGACAGCGTGAAGCTGGTGGTGCGCTACACTCCCAAGGTGCTGGAGGAGATGGAGGCTCGCTTCGAAAAGCTGAGGACAGCCCGGCGCCGGCAACAGCAGCAATTGCTCATTCAGCAGCAGCAACAGCAGCAAACTACACAGCAAAATCACATGTCGTAGGTGAGAGGATTCATTGTTCTTCCCTAAAGTCCACTGGCAGCCCCCCACCCAGGCCAGCCACTTCCAGGGGCCTGTCAGGGCAGCATCTGCTGCCATCTCAGCCCCAAACAGGAGCAGGGCAGCCCCAGACCTGGGCACCTGCCGGGGGATAGAGACAAGCTGGGACATGAGCTCACAGTGGGCCCAGTTTAGTGGGACCCCATGGCTGGGCAGGGCAGGGCTATGGGGAGCTGGAGACTGGCCCTGCTGGCATTGTTGGGGCAGGAGATGACAGCCCTAGGGGCTGACATGACATCCTGGGCTGTGGACAGGATGGAGGGAGCCCCAAGGGGGGCGGTCAAGGCCCTTGAGGTATCCTTGGGGGCCCAGCCAGCACTTACTGCAGTCAAGATGAGTAGAGCTCATTCTTTGGTATATTTCCATTTGGTTTTTCCCAGTAAAGATGCATTTTGAAAACAGGTTAAAGGCACTATCAAATTTCGGTGCCAGTTTCCTACTAATAACCCTGAGATCAAAAGCCACTAGACACTTAAGGCTTATCTGCAAGTGAAAGAAGTCCTGGGAATGTTTTTTTTTATATTAACAACCAAAGCATTTATGACAAATAAGAATATGCCACCAGATTTAGAGAGTTTAAAGCATTTTCAGCTAATCTCTTACCACTCTACAATGAAACATCAAGATTTGCTGGTGGTAGGTGAAGAAAAGTCTTCCAAAACTCTTCCTTGAAACAGGGAACCCAGACTTCATTCTGGTTACTCTACAGGGCACCTCTTAAGTGCTTGCTTTTGGATACAGTTTGGTACAAAGTATTTAATTCACTGTTAACTGACATTCAATATCATAATAATTTCCAAAAGGCTTGCAAGTCTCCCAGTAGTGTGTGAGGTTCAGCGGTTCTCTGCATATACAGTTTTTCTGAAATCAGTGAGAATTTGTGCTATGAATACATTTAGAGATGTGCTCCATTTGCCTAATAAAATCAAGTAGGAAGCATGTCCCAGTGACTTAAATACCAACCCTCATCTCATAGTTGTTTGTTCCCAAAACAGTATAGGTGTACTACAAGGGTCAATAAGTGACTCAGAAAGTCCCCAAATGGTCAAAATCTGAAGCTCCCAGTGATGGTTTCATCCTTATCAGTGTTGACACTGACCTCTGTTGGTATTCAGGGGAAACACCCACCTTGTAAACACCCTGTCCCATGACCACCAGTATTCCAGATTTGTTGAGGCAAACAAGGGCCCTGATAAGGTTTTGAATCCCACCTCAGAGCCTCTACTCAGATGAGGTACAAACAGTAGTATTTCATGTAGTAAATTTGGGGTTTCTATGTAAACTAAGGCCATTGCAGGAGACAGACATACACATGAAGTTTTTAATTTTTTTTTAGTTGCCTAAATAATTCCAGTAGCAAGTAAGGAATTTTTGCCAATTTTAAATTTAAAAGGAAAAATGTCAGGCAGAGACAGCCACCAGCTTAATTCCTCAATTCTTTATGCTTGCTCTGAGACATATGTTTCTTTAATTCTAGGTTGTTCTCGAGAAAGAAGAAGGCTCAGTCAAGAGTTCAGTAATCAGGCAACCAGAGTTGTACTCTCATATTCCAGCAAAAGAAAACAACTACAGGAACATGAAACAGAATTCATCTGGAGAATGTATAGTACCAGACTAAAGTGAGTTGTAGGGAGGGCACCATCGTGGTAAAGCTTTTCAGCACACAGGGGTCACAGATACCTGTTATTTCTGCAACTCTGTTCTTAATGAGAACTGCATGATTGGTAAACCCTATGAAACAGTGAAGTCCAGGGCTTCCAAATAATTCTGTTTGATCTTATCTTGCACTCCTTACTCTGACAAATTTCTAGGTGGCTTTCTCTAGTCACTGAAAGTTTTGTTTAAAGAGGTTAAGATTAGCTGCTTTTGAGAGCAGGATCTTTCTCTACAGTAATCTCCACAAATAAAAAACATCAGTTCAAAATTTTGCCACAGACATCAAACTTGTACATCATGCTTCATAGCCACTTTGTACTATATCCAGTAGAGCTGATTTAACCTAACTTCCTGTTTATAATTTTCAGATTTCCCTCTGGAAATAGCAATTTACTATATTTATAAAGTATTCCATTTGTAGAAGCAATTGGCTTTTTACTCTTGGTGTTTCCATATATTTTATTATGCATCAACAGAGTGAGAAAGTTTTAGGTCAACTTTAATTTTATTAGTAGTAAAGTTAGGGAAGCCTAGAACTGTATTTTTAAACATAGGTATTGCTTGTATCTATTATAGTTACTATTCAGAAATCTATAACTAGATATATTATATATTTATTCCTTAAAATATATATTGTCTGAATGTACCTGTTAGAGAAGTAGGGTCTTTGCTTAGCATGTATTGCAAATGTAGTAAGCTAATGTTAGCAAAAGACCAAGCTTTGTTTGGCAGATATTACTGTGACAGCATAATCTCTGCACTTCTGTATTGTTTAATTTATTTTCCAGTTGAATGTTAATATGTTTTAGAGAGGAGGAAGTGTAAGTTGTTTCTTTTAAGACTCACACATTATTATTTAAATCAATTTGAAATTACAGTTCTGACTTTTTTTTAATTAAAGGGAATTGGAATGTGCAAGCAAAATCTGTAAATTCTAAAGTTTACATGTCTGCTTTTCCAAAGAAGATAGTCAAAGCTAGAAGTCTATATATGCCATCTGCTTTCAAGAAAATAAGAAAATGGACCCCTAAATCCTAAAAAAAAAAAAAGACCTTTTTACATGCCTTCTATGCTTCATTAGAAAAGATTTGGGGGAGAAAGGGAGGTTAGGGGAAAACCATACAGTCCTTGCATGTTGGAAACTGCTGATGTCAGTAAAAGTTCAGTAATGTAAGGAAAGGAATGTACAAATGGTCAGAAATAGTGTTCTGGTTGTGAACTTGGAATGAAGTCAGAAAAAATTAATATATTGGAGGGTCTGTTCTCAAACAGAGAGATACAAAGCAAAACAGGATAAATTGGCAGTATCATAGCATATGTTAGAAACCAAATGCAGGCTAGCCAACAGTTTTGACAGTGTTTTATCAGTGTAAGTAGCCATTGAAAGGAAATTACTGTATGTTTAAAACCAAACAGCATGAATTCATCGAGAGAAGCCTTATCTTATACAGAGAGGTAATTATATTCAGCAATTATCAGTGAGAATATCAGTTAAAACAGTGGAGCTTGAGAACTACCAGAACTGAAGATGAAATATATTGTATTGTGCTCTGCACGGTGTCTTTTTATACTTAATAAAAATTGTATGTACCTATTTTAAAACTGTTCTCAAACAGGCATTGCTATTAATATTGACGGTATTTAAGTTGTTATTATGACTGCACATAACTGTCATGTATCTCATCAGTATGATTTGGATTAGACTGATAGCTGTATTTTCAGAGACCAAGTATATTCAGATTTAGTCAGCCCACTGTACTGCATTTTTACAAACTGCCTCTCAACCTCCTTCCCTCCTCTTCCTCAAAAAATTTGAGTGGAATGTGCTGATTAATAAATTTCAATAATAGACTGTCATTCATATAGAGACTCATATAAAATTCATTTTCATATATTATTATTCAATAAATTATTTATACACATTAAAATTAACATTCTAGTCTTTGCCAGCATTTAACAGTAAGAACTGTCAATGATTCTGAAGTGGAAACAGGAAGAAATAACTTTCTGTTGATTTCATACCCCTTACTGATCAATAAATCATACAGCTACTTAATCTCAAAATAACCACTATCCCTAAGCCTGTGATATGGCCTTGGTTATAGCTGGTATTTTCATTTGTGATTTAAATGTATTTAGTCCTGCTTCAACATGGTACTTCCATATGTGCACAGCTGAATTAGTATTCAGAAAGTGCAGGGAAGACAACCCTTTCCACGTGCGGGTCTGCAGGTATTTGTGCATTGTATTTTAACTGGTTGGTCTCCTGGCATTTGCTGTTACACTACACTAAATTGATATTCTTTCAGTCAACTGAGTGAGTTTTATTGCCTATATTTACCTTTAGGGCTCCCTCATGTTTCTCTGCACTGGCAGCAATCAGAGGTAGGAGATCCAAGATGCCTTTTTTGTCTCTTTATTACAGTAGTCAAAGGTGTGTTTACACACCCTTGCATCTTGTACACTTACCCTAAAGATCCAGATGCAGGATCTAATAATAATAGAGATTTAGGGTTGGTGGTATTTACTTAGTGAAGTTGATGGCTCTGCTGTGCTAGCCATAGTTTTTCTGTTTGTGATATTTGATGTGACTAGCACTTATAAGGTATTGAAGAATTCCATAATCTTTGATAAAACAAAAAGCTCACCAGCTTGAATTTCAGAATTATGCAGAAAAGTGTCTGGAAGTAATAAGGACCATTCCATGTGTAAGGAGTGGATTATTAGCTAGAAGCAGTACTGTTCCTCCATAAGTATTAGTGAGACCGTTTCCATATCCAGCATCCAATAAAACCAAACAGATTTCTCAACCTGAGAGTATTCTGGGCCAGTTTACAAGAATGTGTGCCTGCTGCAGTACATGTGTGATGAGACGTACAGCTCATTGTGCTTAGCCATGAGAAGGTCAGGATGAATTAGGGTTGTGCTCAAACAGTATTGTAAGCAGACCCATGTTAACCTTGCTTGTCCATGAAGTGAATGCAGTCTGAACAAGCAGAAGGATTTAGATACATGTTTGATTAATTCATTGTCTCTACCTTCAGCTGCCCAAAATCAAGCTGTGGAGCTTACACTGACTGTTTCCAAAGTCAAGAGTTAGAGGTATCCATTAAATGTGGTTCATTCCACCTGGCTCTGGCATACATCTTAAAATATAGTAAGGCATTCTGTTAAAAAGATCATAAGCAGAGCCACTACTAAACAACTTAAACTACTAGCTTGGAATAAATAGTGGCTTTTGAGGGGGTGTTGCTGCTACACTCATACTGAAATAATAAATAAAAAGTCCCCAATGTTTGAATTCCCTATCTTAAACCTCTGCATGCATAGCTCAGACGACCAAGAGGCCTTGCACGTGTTCTGGTTTGTAAGGAGGTTCCTGTCACTACAGATGTATGTTCTGAACCATTCTAAGAAATCTAAGAGATCAGCACAGGTATTGCTAGCAAAATGCTTTGGTTGTGGTGCATATAGGAGCAGATTGCAACAAGCTTCAGCCTGTGAATGCTAATACCAGAAGTCTGTACTGCCACCCCAGCACTGGGCTAGTGTGTCTGCATTTTACAATACCTGCAACCAAAAACATGAACTATTGCTTTTGATTTCTGATTACAAACAGAGGTGCACAAAAATGACAGCCATTAAACTTCCACTGTAGAGATTTGGGATAACAAAAGTCATAGCAAAACTTGCCCAGTTCTGAAATCTAAAACCTGCAGCTATCTAGGATTAAATAAAAATATTACAAAAACCAAGATCCAAGAGGAAAAAAAGCCACAAAGGAGTTTAACCTCTGATTAGCTTTGCATTTACTTTCTTATAGTTACTTTCACGCATTCTTGTCAACTCATCAACCACAAGAAAAGCGTATGATTCAGCAATTGCAATTCCTTTTATCAAAATCATAAAGAGCTGATAGGGTAGAGGAGTACCTCTTCTCTTCCTTCTTCACTGAGATGTGTGAAGCTGGATTGCGCTCCAAAAAGGTGATACTCAAACATATCCCAGTCCTACAGAGACTTTCTTCATTAGCCCTATTACAGTTTCTCCCCACCAGCAGTTCTCAAGTTGAGAGAGCTCTAAATGTGTGTTCTCAAAGTGGGTATGTTAGACACATAGACACACAAATTCATGTTCATTTCAAGGAAAACTGTATTAAGCCTGAAGTTGTAAATCTTGCCCAACCTTTTAATTTTGACATCCCAAAACAGATCAATATAAGTTGCACTTATTACCGATTGGAAGCCTGAGATTGTCTTGTAAACTGGTCCAATTAAAAACTGGATCCCAGGAGATGCTGCCATAAATTTCTGTTGAAATTGAAGAAACATAAAGTACAATCTCTGAAGTACAGAATAGCCAGTGCAGCACTACAGAAGAGGGAAGATATTTAAAATTTTTCCCATATCCATGAATACTTCTCCAGAAATATAGAATATTATTTTCATCTGAATAAGTTACTTTTTTATGTTGAGAGGATAAACCATGTCTCTTATAGCAGTTTTAGAAAGAAGACAATATGCTTTTAAAAAACAGCATGGGAAAAACCCTGGGTATGTTAAGGTAGCCACGAACAGCTTGGTGGGCAAGAGTGGCCCAAACTCAGTTGAGAGCAACTCAGAATTACTTCACTGATCTCTCTCCTATCACTCCACCTTTTGGCTTCACAAATTCCCTTTGACAAGAGCCCAAAGGTCACCACAATCTACTCCAACTCTCCCACTGCAGTATTCCCCTACCCTTCTTTCCATGTGAGTTTTCTGTTGGCTGAGCCACTCCTCACACTTTTTGATCACATACAATCTTTTCAGCCAAGTATGGCATTTAGGCTTTGTCATGTCTACCTTCTACAGTGCTCTGCTCTTCACTTACACTCCACATCCATTAGCTGCCCTCTCATGGCCACCATAGTCAGCTGTCTTACTTGCCTTACACAAAAAAATGGTAGATAAACCTTGAAAAAAAATAGATGTGCCAAGAAAGTAATCTTCTTCCTGAGTCACCCCTTTTTCATCAGGTGACAATTTTCTCTTGCATTTGGTTCCCTGCTGACAGTTATCTATGCCATGACAGTGACTGTGGAACAACCACACACCCTCCTCTGGCTTAAAAAACAGCTCCTTGTCTGGAACCAATGGACGTCTAAACCTGCTGGAGACATTACACCATGAATTCACACACATGCAGTAGGTCAGAGACATTGTGCACACACAAGTGAAGTTTATAGGTGAAGAAAATCCCTCACATCTGGCATGTAGACTTATGTCTGTCTGGAATCTCACAGGTAAAAATGTGGAACCAACTCCTGGCAGCATCCTAACACTGAGTCAGTGCCTTCAGCCATCCAGTCTGAAAGTGTATTATAAAAAGACATCCAAGCACCAATGTTTTGTTTTGAAATTCTATTTCAAAGTAAGTTTTTACCAGTAAGCAATGAGAAAGCAAGAGCCTTTCTTAAACTCCCAGGGATCAAACACATAACAAAATATTTATTTCATTACTAACACCATGCTTCAAGTGCAAAACTTACACCAGCACCGCCTTTCAAGCCTCAATTTTGTGCATGTTGTCTTTATCTTGTCTGTAGGATTGACAGAAAGAAATTAAACTATTCAAAAAAAGACTTGGTGATGTGAAGGGGCTTTAAGCATCAATTAACTCAGACTAAAGTATAAGTGCTGACTGGGTCTTTTGAGCAATATTTGTCTCCACTATGTGTATGGCACTGTAGCAGGTTTACAGCCCTGTTGTACTACCTGTGTGCCCAAGTCTGGCTGACTCCGCTCAGCGGGCATGGCAGGCGGGGCTCGCAGCTGAATAAATACGCCAAGGGAGACGCCTAGTGTAAAACGACGCTCATGGCACCGAGAGCTGCTCGTTCCGCTGTCACTGCTCAGGGCCTCTTTCCTCCTAGCGTTAAAAAGCTGCGCACAGAGATGTACGCAGCATTCGTTCAGCATATTGCCACACATTTTACAGTGAGTGGACAGTTCAGAACTGAACCTGATTTATATGTAGAATAACACCACAAGAGTTAACTCCCTGTGTTACGAATGGCAATTAACAATAGGATTATGGCAATAAGGCAATACACTTACCTGGGTAATAATTCTTGGTAAATGTAAATATTAATGTAAATATTAACATGGTATTGGACCGCACACAGGGTCTGATCACACTTCACCTACTGTTGCTGCTGCTGAAGATTATACATATGCTGATTAAAAAAATGTCCCAAATGCTAGGCAACTGTATCACCTACATTGAAGTAAACGATAGATGAAGCACGTCTCCATGCCTTGCTGAAAGGAACCATGTAAACTAGGTGCAGTTAAAAATTGATGCAAACCATGAATCTTCTACTGCAGCTGCTGCTCTGCTTTTAGCAGGGGACTTGCCAAAGATAGCCATCAAATTGAGTTTCCATTGTAGCTGTGATTTTTCTCAAAGATGGTAACAGTCTGTACCACTGCCTGGCACTACCCTCCACAGAGGGACACCCAAATAGAATCCAGGATCATTAGATCCAGGTGTATCTATGGGGTTTTTATTATTATTTATTATTAGAGGCATTTTTATTTATCCCCTTCTAGACACTCCTTTAGTTTCTTCCTCTTCCTCCACCACAACTTTAATCAAGGCTTTGATATTTAGCTGAAGTATGCAGGCATCTAAAAGTTCTCCTTTTTTCAGCAGGGAAAACAAACTAGGAGCTACATTTTGTATACCACATCTTATATTCTCAGGCAGATTCTTCTTTGAAAGACCTGAGAAAAGGCAATACCACCAAGAAGCACCAGCTTGACAAATACAGGAGCCTTCAGAAAACAGTCACACTATTTAGTAAAAAGTACAGAGGAAAGAAGTCAAAATTATAAAATAATCCTACCTTCAGCAAGCTCCAGAAGTAAAGCCCAGGCTCTGACAG